TAAGAGCTAGGAGAAAGCACTAGGGTGTTCCCCTGATGAACCTCTAAAGAGGAGAACGCGCTAGGGAGTTCCACTGATGAACCTCTAAAGAGGAGAAAGCGCTAGGGAGTTCCCCTGATGAACCTCTAAAGAGGAGAAAGCGCTAGGGAGTTCCACTGATGAACCTCTAAAGAGGAGAAAGTGCCAGGGAGTTTCCCTGATGAACCTCTAAAGAGGAGAAAGCGCTAGGGTGTTCCCCTGATGAACCTCTAAAGAGGAGAAAGTGCTTTTTTCGTCTTTTGCTTTTTAATATTTAACCATCACAAGGACTTTGAAATGTGTTTCTGATTTAGATACCAGGTATATAGATATATCTTCACTCTGTAAACAAATACAAAAGACTACACATAACACAATGCTTCACAAGTACAATACATACAATGTACATATATTAAAGGGACATAACATATTATATAACACAGAATAATTAATTAATATAAAATACAATAAAATATGACACTATCTTACTATACATGTCAACTTACCAGGAGTATCTGGATGCTTCTGTCTGTAGTGGGTCCAGCTCCACCAGCCAAACAGGGCCCCCAACTCATTACCAGAAAATATGTGCCAGTCACCACTGAAAAGTGAAACAGCTAGTGCAATATATTAGAAAGAATGAGTCTTCACTTCATTAAAATGTTAACTATATGACTATTTGGTTTGCAGGCTGTTAAAGGAGAAAACAAAAAAATAATACAAGCTAAACTACTGTACTTGAAACCCAGATTGTCAGTTTCATGATGGATTTTCCAGATAAACATTAAAACCTTGTTATAATGCCACTATTTGTTTCAGAGAAATTTTGGCATTATAAAGGGGTTTTGCAATTGGTTAAGGTAAGTGTCTAAAAACATCATTAAGAAAACAAGATAATGAAATATGTTGGTATTAAACGAGGTAACAAAGGAAACAAGGCCAAGGGGCATTATATCTCAGTTTCACAGGAAAATGGGAACCGGAAGCTATACTGTCACAAATAGACTTTTAATGTCAATTCAGATAATATTAACTTGTTTAACTATTTACAGAAAGCCCTACTCCACGCATACAAATAATTGCTGTGGTAGGGGGGCCAAAGAAAAGTCCCTCCTTCAATGAACCCCGATATTTGTTGATGGAATATAGACATGCAGTTATGCACAGATCTTTCAAGCCATCAATATTCTGCAGGTCAGACCCAAAAATGGAGAGGTCATATAATTCACACACTTTAAGGTATTCTGACAAGAATCATTTACATCTCCTGTAGTAGGTTGGCCTGTATAACCTTCAAAAGCCACATCCCATGGCAAATCCAGAACTACCATTACATTTAATGTACCTCCTCCCCTCAGTTTCTTTTATTACTCAGTCTTTATAGCTATATAAAGCAGTAACTATATATAGGAAGGCTGTTCACATACAATTATCAACCATACTGAATGTTTACCCAATGTCAAGAGTTTGGATGAACTTGACTGTAATTTTATTGTGAAGTGTTTTACACATGTTTATCATCTATTAACATGTTGAATTTTAAAAGGTTTATTGATTAAACCTGCTGTTAATTATTTTCAATTGAATACATATATGTGAAAATGTTATCCTTTGACCAAGCTACACGGGTCATATGGGCTGACCTTGAACGTTTTACAGCCACAGCCAGTCGGTCAGCATCAGGATCGTTGGCAAGAATCAGGGGACAGTTGTGGGCATCTGCTGTCGCCATAGCTAGTTTCTAGGACAGAAAAGGACAACATCATCAAGACAATCTTACAAAACAACATTTCAAGATGACCAGAAAAAAGTAAGTACATAATTATTGCCTTAATCTTGAAATGAGGGTACCCAAAATGACACATTTTCCCCTATCACCCCCCCCCCCCCCCCCCAGCCTCTCCATCTTGTCCCCCTTCCAAAGCAGCTAGTCCCCATCCTCCATCCCTTACCACTCCTCACCTTCCCCATCTACGTTCCCTGGAATTGTCTACTTACAATGTAGTAGTTCTGTACTTATTTCCCCAACTCCCATCTGCTTACATATTATGTACACATGATTTCACTGGAAAACGACAGTAGTTTTATAAATTTTAATTCGAGAATATTTTTTAATCAAAATTATAAAACCATTACAATTTAGTCTAACATTTCTGTTTGATGAAGATTTCACTCACCAGGGCGCCCTTGCCTTCTTCAGGGTTGGGGTACTTGACAGTTGGAAAATCGGGATCAGCTTCTACCTGTCAAGGGAGGTAATTCACCAGTTAAAGCAAAAATATGCAAAGTGATGTACTACATATATACTGGTTTATATGGTTTTAGAGCTTGAACAGTTTATAAAGTAACTGAAAATGTCTGTAAGACATAAATGCCCCCACTCATGGATGGGACGGGACAGGACGGGACGGACATGGGCAACACTATAACACTATATGCCCCCCCATTTTATGGCGGGGGCATAAAAAGTTCTGTTTAGATGCAGACCTTAACTCTATAACCAGTCCTTAGGTCTTAGAACATTTAAGTTGCATGACTATTAAGTAATCTTCAGCCATAAATCTTTATCTCTAAATACTATTTTTTTTTTTATTCATTTTTATGATGACTATGCTTTTTGTTTCAAGCATTCATTAGGCTTGGGCCAAGACAAAAGTTTGTTCATTATTTGTCCTCACAGCATGAATATGTTTGATGACAGGTCTGACAAAAGTACTTAAAACTTGGTATTTTGGATATTAACTTAAGACCTTTTACTAATTTAGTTTACCTAAAGGTAAATGATCTTAGTGATGAACTTTGACCTTTTCCTATTTTATGTTAACCTTCAAAAAGTTTTATGTTATTTGTAACGGACTTTGACATCACGTGGGAAAGTATGGTATTAACTTCTTATGAATTAACAACATCTATAATCATCATTAAGGCTGTCATTCCTGACATCATTTAAAGTATAAATGTTGACTGAAGACATACAAATTAAATATGCAAAGCTCATAAATTATGCACCAATCTATATATCGCTATATACTGCAATGCTTTTTGAGATGCATATACATGTATTCTAATAATAATTTGAGGTTCTTATATACTGCTTTATCACAACCTAGTTCGTAGGTCGTCTAAAAGCGGTTCACAAATTATTATCCGTGGTTATAGGGCCTTTGCAATCAGCCAATACCTTTCTCAACTCCCTGGAGAGCATACAGCCGGAGCTGCCATTTTGGTGCTGACAGCTAGCATTCAACAATTCTAGCACTGCCCAAACAGGTACTCATTTACAGCTGAGTAGACTGGAACAAACGGAGTAAAGTATCTTGCTCAAAGATACAACACAGTGCCGTGCTGTGACTCGAACCTGCAACCCTTCGGTCACGAGCCCGGCGTCCTACCAAGACTGCCGTGCCTCCACTAGACTACCGTGTATTACAATATATAAACTGATTTTAAGTGGCAACATAAAGTCCTACTGTAATTTTACTGTTATCATGTATCCCGGCCTTAACCACTAAAGTTCTAAGGGATATATAGGATTCAGCCCCTGTGGATGTATGTTACACTCTTTGTCATCGCTCTAGCGAATTCATAACTGAACAGCTGAATAGCATGAATCTTCATTACAAGTGTTTGGTATGACAATACCTTGAACAAATTTACGTTTTGGGTTTCTACATTGACTCTTAAATTCATTCCTGGTTACTGTGTTAAAGGTCAAGGTCACTTTTACTATTTTTAGAAAAACTTTATCATCACTCTATCGACTTCATTCCTCAACGGAGTAAAGATCTATTATCCATCGAAGAATGCTGTCGCTAGAGCAGATACTTATCCATCATTGATTTTTCTGTTTATTTCCTTAAATATATGTCACACAATGTGTGAATGCGAGGGGATTTGAGGAGATGCCTTGTTTTTTGTTGTATGGAGTCCTACCTGTTCCAGCACGGGAATGACTTTAAGGTGACCAAGGGAGCGACAGGCCTCCTGAATGAAAGGGTAGCCCACTCCATGCATAGCAGTGTAGGTGAACTCAAGTGTAGGCGTAGCATCACTGTAAAAACAATAACATAACATATTCATTTCTCTCTGTACCAATTATTGGAATACGTGAAAATGAAGAACAGAAAATAAAAAAACTAATATTTTCAAAAAAATGAACTTTTATAAGGTATGCTGAAGACACTTTAAGCTATAACATTATAAATCAAACCATAAATAAAAGGGTCAAGGTGTCAAATGACAAAAGCTAAACATGTTTTTACTTTTTATAAATACAATTACAATTACTTTTCTTTAACATCCTGTATTAAAATTCGATTATGCTTATAGATCATTCATAATTACATTTAAGTACATGTTTTTGAGCCCATTAAAGATGGACATAGGATAGACAAGCAGAATATTAAATTAACTGTATACACTATCAAAACTGGAGGAGAGCTACATATATGGTGGGCTGGAGGCAAATTTATTACACTTACTCAAATTGAACAAGTTTTGACAAGTCCTCATTGTATTTCTTGTAGACATCTGAGTACGGGTCCTTGACCAGTGGGCTGGACTCGAGGCCAGTGATTTGCCAGGATGATTGAAGCGGTTCCAGGCTTTCCAATATACAGCTGGCTATACCCTTATCATGTGGACTGATGATCTGCAACAACAGACTCTATATATATACCTCCAATACAACATGGGACAGACATAGGCTCTATATGTACCTCAAATACAACATAGGACAGACATAGGCTCTAAATATATACCTCCAATACAACATAGCACAGACATAGGCTCTCTATATATACCTCCAATACAACATAGGACAGACATACACTCTCTATATATACCTCCAATACAACATAGGAAAGACATAGGCTCTCTATATATACCTCCAATACAACATAGGACAGACATAGGCTCTCTATTTATAGCTCCAATACAACATAGGACAGACATACGCTCTCTATATATAGCTCCAATACAACATAGGACAGACATAGGCTCTCTATTTATAGCTCCAATACAACATAGGACAGACATAGGCTCTCTATTTATAGCTCCAATACAACATAGGACAGACATAGGCTCTCTATTTATAGCTCCAATACAACATAGGACAGACATAGGCTCTCTATTTATAGCTCCAATACAACATAGGACAGACATAGGCTCTCTATTTATAGCTCCAATACAACATAGGACAGACATAGGCTCTCTATTTATAGCTCCAATACAACATAGGACAGACATAGGCTCTCTATTTATAGCTCCAATACAACATGGGACAGACATAGGCTCTCTATTTATAGCTCCAATACAACATAGGACAGACATACGCTCTCCATATATAGCTCCAATACAACATAGGACAGACATAGGCTCTCTATTTATACCTCTAATAAAACATAGGACAGACATAGGCTCTCTAAATATAGCTCCAATACAACATAGCACAGACATAGGCTCTCTATTTATACCTCTAATAAAACATAGGACAGACATAGGCTCTCTATTTATAGCTCCAATACAACAGAGGACAGACATAGGCTCTCTATATATACCTCCAATACAACATGGGACAGATATAGGCTCTCTATTTATAGCTCCAATACAACATAGGACAGACATACGCTCTCTATATATAGCTCCAATACAACATAGGACAGACATAGGCTCTCTATTTATAGCTCCAATACAACATAGGACAGACATAGGCTCTCTAT